TGGTGGGTTCCATTTTTTTTCATCGGGTGCTGCAGATTACGGGCCTCCATAGCTGCTTGCCATAGAAGCCCGTAATCTGCCATGGGCCCCCTTACCGACTCCTCATGCTGCTGCCAGGGCCCGTAATCTCTGTCACTGGGTCCCCACGTTGTCAGTCGCTTGTTGGCAAATTCCGCTCGTTCAGATGGCTCCTGTCTCACTGCTACTGCCTCTTCACGGATTTCCCGTCAGCAGTCCTTTTCTTGAGAATCCGTTTCCAAGAGACAACATTTGCGAGCACGCACAGCACCGACGGTGCAGAAGCTGAACGTCCTCCTGTCCAAGTTGCTGCTCGCCACAGGCTCGTAATCTGTCTCATGCGCCCCTGTACCCCCGCCTCCTCATGCTGCTGCCCAGGTCCAGAGTGTGTCATGGCCCCCGCGTACCGACTCCCCTCATGTGCATGCTGCCAGGGTCCCGTAATCTGTCAGCTGGGCCCCTGTACCCCCGCCTCCCCATGCTGCTGCCAGGAGTCCAGAGTGTGTCAGGTCCCTGTACGGCCTCCCATTGCTGCTGCCAACCGGGCCCGTAAATCTGCCATGGGTCCCCTGTACGCCGACACTCTCTTTCAATAGCGCTTGCCAGGAAGGTGCCCGTATTCTGTCATGGGCCCCTGTACACCATCCGCCTCCTCATATGCTGCTAGCCAGGTCCAGAGTGTGTCATGGTCCCTGTACGGCCTCCCATTGCTGCTGTCTCTATCGCCACACTCTGCCATGTGCCACTTTCAGGTCTCCTCACACTGCTGGTGGTTTTCCATTTTTGTCATAGGGTGCTGTATGGCCCTCCCATTGCTGCTGCTGCCTCCACCGCCACAAACACTGTGGCTCCACACTCTGGGTTTTGGCCCCGTGACTAGCCCAAATGAGTTGAAGTGTGTGCGGGTGATTCTAAGATCGGATTCGTGCACACATCATCTGCATTCATCACAGACTGACAGTATTATTTTCTCGTTCCCCAAGTCGAGACTCCAAAGGGCATTTAAATTAAAGCGGTACAGTGGATGTTCATTGCTGCACTAATATTAAGTCTTGGCCAGGGCGGTATCCGTATTCACGCTGTTCATTTGCCTAGCCCCTACCCATGTTCTGGAAAGCTCTCACAGCTTCCTGAAGGCGGGAATAACTCAGACAAACTCAAACAACATCAGAGAATCATGAGCAGACCTGACTAATCCATGGCAGCACTCTGTTAAGCAGAATACCACACTGAATTTACCCGACAGCCTCTCTGGTAAGCAGAGACCAACTATACAAATCCTAGCGCATGACTAGGAGAGTGCTACCGTGACATCTCAGGAGGGCTTTGAAAGCTTGTGCTACCCAGACTGGGTCTTGGTTAAAACCTCCGCAAGGTCAGGGAAACAAACTGGGGAGAAGCAGAACACTAGGAGAAATCTAGTCATCCCGTATGTAACTGGAGCGTCGGAAAAACTCAGAAGGATCTTTAAGAAACATTGCATCCCTGTGTACTTCAAGCCCAGCATAGCCCCGGGGCACACGCTTAAACATTGACACTATCTGTATTCCACGTTTTTAACACCTCTATCCAGGCCATTTTGACAACAATTGAGGCCTTTGGCCATGTCAATCTAGGCACTTTTAGCTATGCAGGCTTCCTGACACCAACAATGGGATCATGTAAGGTGAAAAAAGGTGCTTCCACAATTCTCACACATCCCCTGGTGTTCAGGTGTGAATAGAAATGCTGGGGTTTGTTCCTGAGACTCAGCGGAAGCGAAGAAGTGGCTTGACTAAACTATGAAAGATCTTGAACATTCCCAGAAGAAGAGCAATTGATTGCGACATTATTCTAGTCCGTTTTCAAGGAATGTCTCGAGTGAATGGTTAATCGTCAGCCGTGTGAGACAAGCCAAAGGACGCTATTTGTCTTCTTAGGTTAGGGTGAGACTTGGCAGCGGGCCCTGCTAAGGTAAAGAGAAAGCACGAGCGTCCCTGGGTGGGCTTGAACCACCAACCTTTCGGTTAACAGCCGAACGCGCTAACCGATTGCGCCACAGAGACCACACGACAAGCGTGCTTGAGCTGGCCCAAAGGAGACATGAAAGATGAACTGAAGGTGCCTAAAAAGCTTCCCAATTGCACATTTGTAGAGATAAGAGATTGCCTTCTTTCTAAAAGGCAGAGACGCGGGGTAAAAAGCTCTTCCTTCGAGCCGGAATTGAACCAGCGACCTAAGGATTGCTGCTTTGTCTCTACAGTCCTCCGCTCTACCAGCTGAGCTATCGAAGGGGAACTGGGAAGAGCACGTGACACCTTGCATGCTAAGCCAGCGCCGTACACTTTGCATTTGACCTTCTCGGTTGAGGTATTGCTTGATGCCGCCTCGGCCGGAAAGGGCAAATGAATGACTTGGCAGATGTTATGTGGGAGGCTACGGCTTGATGTTTTGCACAGAGAGAAAAGGGTTTGGAATCAGCCAGCGCATTTTGTTGTGATCCTCCAAAGTCACAGCAAAAATGGTGATGTAGCGCCCTGACAGCAAGTGAACAGAGTAGTACTTGGAAGCGCATTGAGTTTAGCCAAAGGAATTATGTCGAAAGCTATCAAAAAGTCTGCGGACTCAGGTGGCTGTGAGAGGCCTTGAAGAGCAAAAGTGCTGTAGCCCGGCTAGCTCAGTCGGTAGAGCATGAGACTCTTAATCTCAGGGTCGTGGGTTCGAGCCCCACGTTGGGCGTGGGACACATTCCGTGTCCTTTTGCCCGTGAAAGGCCTTTGCAAAACTTGTATCTCCAGTTCCTTCATGCGCACTGCACAATCACACCTTTACCGTATCTACTGGCTTGGCTTCCTTTCTCTCCACGAATGGGGAAATATTTCTAGCTGATCTTCCTAGTGGTCACTTGGTACGGCAGCGAATGGACCTTGCGCTGGAGGGGGTCCGTGAGTCAATGTCATGTGTGGCCTTAATTGTATAGAGGTAGCAGGATGCCTGGCGCACAGCCTTGCGTTGGTGGTATAGTGGTGAGCATAGCTGCCTTCCAAGCAGTTGACCCGGGTTCGATTCCCGGCCAACGCAATCTCCTTCTTTGCGCCCTTGACAAAATACCACAGGGCCCCAGGTCCTTATCAAAAGCTCCTTAGATGTCTTGCCTTAGTGACGACTGTGGAAATATTCCTCGGCATCCCAACAGGCTCCGGCCTCCTGCTTTAACTCGCTCGCGGGGTACAGCAGTATCAAGCAACAAGGTTCAGGCATTTCAACCACTGATTCCCAAAGAATCAACTCTGTCACACACAGCGTTTCTAAGTATCTGCCTACCATTCTAACACCCTCAACTGGCAAGATAATGCACCATTTGGAAGAATGCTAAAGAATGTGTCAACAAGGAATGTAGACTGAAGTTGGAGCCGGAAGAAACAATCACGTCCCATGATGCCATCGGCCTTTTCACTTGTATACACTTGGCAGAGGCTGTTGAGATTGTGGGAAACATCTGAAAGGAGGTAAGTCTCTTGACAGCCAAAAAGAACTAAAGCCTGACCAAGTGCATTCATTGCTGACCCTTGAGCCTTGAATTGTTCCATGGGGAAAACCAAGCCGTTTGTAAAGGCATGTGGATTCTACTTGGGTCAAGATTAGAGCATCAGCACCCCACAAGCTTTTAGTGAACCCATAAAGTCAGTGGACAAATACATCAAGTGTACACGGGAAGAGGCACTGAATAGCAAATAGCAAATGCCCCCTTTTGGACGGCGTCTTACAAGGCAAGGAAGGGGCTGACTTGGGCATGGAGGTCTCCAGGAAACCTACCCACACAGACCGCTATCTGCCTTTTGACTCACACCACCACCCACTGGAACACGAGCTGGGGGTTCTTAGGACTCTGCAATATCCGGCTGACATGGTAGCAACCAAAAGAGTCTAAAGACAAAAGAACACAGATGCAACGCCACCCTTGCGAGGGACGCTGGCGTGTTTGCCCCGGTTTCCCTTGACTTCGCCCCGCAGCCAGGCACAGTGTATTTTTCTTCAGCCAAATACACACGCGCGCGCAAAACGCTCCTTGCCTTCAATGACCGGACTAGGGGATGTTTGTTTTTGGAGTTTTCTTGTCGAGCTGGGGATAGGGATGGGGAAATTGTAGTAGGATACTCCAAAATGAGAACTTTTCACACTGAAGACATCTAGCTGATCTCTTAGTTAAGCAGTATTGACGTCCTGACTGGCTTGAGGCCCTCAGGTCCACCCACCTGGGGCCTCATGGCAGCCGGCGCCAGGCGAGGCAGCCTGCCTGCCTCCAGCCCAGCTGTTCAGTCCTCTCCCAGGAAAGACGCTGAGCCCATGTGCTCGCAGAACAGAACATAAATGCCACTCCCACAGCATGCCACAGGACTGCCCTCCCTTGCAACTGGCCAGGGCGGTATCCGTATTCACGCTGTTCATTTGCCTAGCCCCTACCCATGTTCTGGAAAGCTCTCACAGCTTCCTGAAGGCGGGAATAACTCAGACAAAACTCAAACAACATCAGAGAATCATGAGCAGACCTGACTAATCCATGGCAGCACTCTGTTAAGCAGAATACCACACTGAATTTACCCGACAGCCTCTCTGGTAAGCAGAGACCAACTATACAAATCCTAGCGCATGACTAGGAGAGTGCTACCGTGACATCTCGAGGGCTTTGAAAGCTTGTGGCTACCCAGACTGGGTCTTGGTTAAAACCTCCGCAAGGTCAGGGAAACAAACTGGGGAGAAGCAGAACACTAGGAGAAATCTAGTCATCCCGTATGTAACTGGAGCGTCGGAAAAACTCAGAAGGATCTTTAAGAAACATTGCATCCCTGTGTACTTCAAGCCCAGCATAGCCCCGGGGCACACGCTTAAACATTGACACTATCTGTATTCCACGTTTTTTTAACACCTCTATCCAGGCCATTTGACAACAATTGAGGCCTTTGGCCATGTCAATCTAGGCACTTTTAGCTATGCAGGCTTCCTGACACCAACAATGGGATCATGTAAGGTGAAAAAAGGTGCTTCCACAATTCTCACACATCCCCTGGTGTTCAGGTGTGAATAGAAATGCTGGGGTTTGTTCCTGAGACTCAGCGGAAGCGAAGAAGAAGTGGCTTGACTTGACTAAACTATGAAAGATCTTGAACATTCCAGAAGAAGAGCAATTGATTGCGACATTATTCTAGTCCGTTTTCAAGGAATGTCTCGAGTGAATGGTTAATCGTCAGCCGTGTGAGACAAGCCAAAGGACGCTATTTGTCTTCTTAGGTTAGGGTGAGACTTGGCAGCGGGCCCTGCTAAGGTAAAGAGAAAGCACGAGCGTCCCTGGGTGGGCTTGAACCACCAACCTTTCGGTTAACAGCCGAACGCGCTAACCGATTGCGCCACAGAGACCACACGACAAGCGTGCTTGAGCTGGCCCAAAGGAGACATGAAAGATGAACTGAAGGTGCCTAAAAAGCTTCCCAATTGCACATTTGTAGAGATAAGAGATTGCCTTCTTTCTAAAAGGCAGAGAGACGCGGGGTAAAAAGCTCTTCCTTCGAGCCGGAATTGAACCAGCGACCTAAGGATTGCTGCTTTGTCTCTACAGTCCTCCGCTCTACCAGCTGAGCTATCGAAGGGAACTGGGAAGAGCACGTGACACCTTGCATGCTAAGCCAGCGCCGTACACTTTGCATTTGACCTTCTCGGTTGAGGTATTGCTTGATGCCGCCTCGGCCGGAAAAAGGGCAAATGAATGACTTGGCAGATGTTATGTGGGAGGCTACGGCTTGATGTTTTG